CCAGCTGAATCAGACCCGTGACCCGGGATTAGATGGTTAGAAAACAGATGGATGGATATAAAAGAGGGCCAGTGCTTTTAGCCGGGATCAAACTGTTCTGTCCTCTCGGCGTCTGCTAAGATGAGACTCGCGTTGTCACTGGTCCACTTGGTGGCCCAGCATGTCTGCACTGGCTTTTGCTGCAAGAAGCAGCCTGGTTTGCCCCCAGCTGAGGGTCGGTGTGTTTGAGTCTGGTGGCCAGTGCTGTAGAGTTAGATGGGGGGGGGGGGCACAGACCCCAGCCCCCACAGCACAGCCCACAGCCCACGGCCCACGTGCCTCATTGTTCCCCGGTGCCAGCGCCACCATTGTCTGCCCAGCGCTGTTTGTTTAGCGCCTCTGTTCGGCGTCAGCGACTCCTCATCCCGTTGCACAAGGGAGCTCTCTGTTGCCCGCTCCGCTCGCGCCCGCGCGCCCCGCCGGGGCTCTGGCTGTGCTCTGAGGTCATGTTAACCCTTTCTCTTCCTCCAGCCTGCAGGGCGGGGGACATCACTTCTGAAAAGTACCGTGGGCTAACACGCAGACTTACTTTCCCAAATGTTACAGTAGCTCATTACTTTGGAGCACATGCAACACATTGCTGCTACAGTTGGATCTCATGGGGGTGATCTGTTCTAGGGTTTATTACCAGATTTTAATTAATTACGAGTAGTGTCAGTATTTAATGTTACAAATAACGAACATCTGCCAGCATCCTTATTTCCCTTGGAAGACCTTATCTAGTGCTTTTTATGCATCCGAAATGTGACCCAGAAGGGAACAGTAAATACTCAAATAGTTTAAATAATTTATTTAAACTTCATTTTACCTTTAATTTTGTTTGTCCCCAGCTCTTAAACATGTTGAAGCTTTACTTTTGGGGGGTATTTTGCAGGTGAAATAAAACCCCAAACTTGTGAGTGGAAAAAAAATGCAAATATTCCAATGAAGGATCTTCTTAGGCTTCAGTGATCTCATGAAGACGTGTGGGTCTCCGGGACCTGGACTGGGATGTGTGGATGGTCCCAGTGGCTTTGATGGCTGTTTCGAGTGTTTGACGTGACAAGGAGCGACTGCAGGCCACAGGCACAGACTGGGCAGCGGGTGTGTGGAGACTGAAACCCAAGGACTCCTCAGTTACTGCCGTGCAAGTGACCTTTCACAGAGAAGGAAACCAGGCCGCATCCTGTATAGAGGAGGGCTTTGTTGCCTTCTGGTGATGGCTACAAATTTTGTTTTTAATCAAATCTATTTGTCCTACGAAGGAGCTGGAATTAGTAGCTTGTAGTAGTGCCCTTGTCTGGATTTGTTTTGAGCTCCAGGCTGGGTGTCCAGTGTTACTCTGTTCTGGACAGCTGAAATACTGCAGGCTTTGGTTCTGACTGTCAATGGTCATTAAATATCTCAGGGTGTTTCCCGGAAGAGTAAGAGAGTTTACCCCAGAGTCCTGGCCAAATTTCCCCCTGGCCTTTACCAATCATGGCCTACTAATAATCCCCATCTCTGAACTGGCTTCATTGCTCTGTTCTCCTCCCCACTGAGAGCTGGTGTGTGGGGAGCGTTCTGGCTTTGAATTTGTAAATTTAGTTTTCTCATCAGCGTAGCTCTTTCAGGTGATAAGGTGCTGGAATTCAGAGGTGCAAAACTCTTTGTTTGGAGTCAAGAATGGGCATTCCTCTCTGCAGTTCAAACACAAAACAAAGCGGGGGTTCCAACAGGGAGGGAAGGGGGTTTGATGGTATCTGCCTCCTAATCTGCTCCCGGCAGGCGTCCGACGGGAGACGGAGCTGTCGGCTCTCGTTCCTCAGACTGTGGGGCGGCGGGGAAGGAGAGCGGAGAGCGCAGTGGAAAGGAAAACAAGGATTGGGGATTGGGGGGGGGGTTAAGCGAACGTCTCCAGCACCCAGCCTTACGACTGTTCGCTTGGCTTGTCAGCTCCGAACCATGTGAGAGGGAACCGTCTCCAGTCAGCGCGCTGCTGCAGGCTGAGTGTTTGACTATATACGGTCAGTGAAGAGCGATGTTGGGCGGGTCCGGTTATGTGAGGGGGGTTTCTGGGCAGTGGGGCAATATCCATTCACTGGGACTGGTCGGAATCACATAAATGGGGGTGATTTTGTGATGGCACGGGGTTACAGCATTAAACTGATCAAGTGCATCATTTTTACCAAAAGCCCAAAGACTAATCAAGCAGTCATGTTACTCCAGACCAGTGCTGCAGACAGCCTTACAGTGTACTTTAATCGGACAGTGCGGAGATCCCGGTGTCCTTTCTCCTCTCCTCACAGTATTGCTCCTTCCCCTGTTGTGTGCAGGGGAGGGGGTCTCCTCTCCCTGGTGGGCTGGCAGGAGCTCTGCGGAGGAAGCATTGCATTTAGGCAAATAGGTGTCATAGTTGGCGTCGTAGTTTGATCCACTTCAGATTTTATGGGCATGGGGAGCTTGTCCAAAATTGTGCTGAGTAAGGAAGAGGGGATGCCGGTGTGCCTCAGCAGTTTGTGGTGTGCATATCTAAATACCTTGTCTTTTTACTCCAAAAGTCTGTTTCGTCCCATGCTCAAGAAGAGGTAATGCACCTAAAACATCAGCCACTTTCGAATTTCGTAATTTGCTATGGCCACGGTGCACAGTCAGTCAGCCAGGTAGATGAAGTCTTTCGACCTATCCTCTCCACTTTCCACACTTCGTACTGTAACGCTTCGGGGTTCTCGTGGGTATGCGCCCTCGCCTCTGCCGCCTCAGGTCGGCCCCCCACCGCCAGGGACTTGAACCCAGGCCTCCGGCGTCACTCAACAGGGACCCAGCCACTTGAGGCAAAGGGAAATCGCCTGTTTGTTTTAACAGGGTGTGAGGGGGTTCTTGATGGGTTCTTCACGGTCCCCGGGCCTGTGGGGGTCCCCGTTTCTGCGGTCCTGCAGGTAGGGGCGAGGCACGTCCTCACCCAGCTGTGTCTGGAGAGAAGCCAGGGTATCGGCTTCAACCACAGGGCTGGGCAGCTTGTTCCCCCCCCCCCCCCCCCCCCCCGTGCGAACTGTAACTCGAGCTTCTCCCTCCCTCGGCCACTTTAACTCCATCGCCTTTTGTTTGCCTTTCTTTTTTTTCCCCTGTAAACAGCCGTAATGTCATGACGGAGAGAAAGAGAGCCTTTTGTTCCTGCCTGTAGGATGGTACCGTTGGCGGGAGGAGAGAACTGTTGAGCATTTCTTTCGTGGTCACTTTCTCGTCTCTCCCCAGCCACCCGCACACCAAACTTGCCTTTCTGAAACCTGGGCCAACCCCGTGCTCTCTTCCCTTCTGGTTCCTGGGGCATCTCTTGCCCTCCTTGTCTCCTCCTCTGACTGGAGGAATTTGCACAGCCCTGTAATCTCACTCTGATCCTTCCCAGGGTGGTCCGTTTCTTTTGGGGGGTTAGCGCAATCGTTCTCTCCCTCCTGAGGTTTTCGTTCAGTGCTGATGCCGCCTTTGTGAACCCGCGCCATCACTGACATGGTTCGGGTGCAGCTAGGCACCTCAAACGCATATCAAGACCTGTATCGGGCTGCATGGGTGGACAACAATGGCAATGTAAATGTAATGGCAATGCCAGTGTAAATCCAGGTTCTGTACTGGGGTACTGATTTCATGAAGTCTTAAGATCACTTTATTGGCCGTTCACAATCTCTTGCATTAGGAATTTGTCTTTTTTCGCAGACCCCAGTCTGCTCTCCATGAGACACACAGACATGGAGAGAAGCTTGGGGTCAGAGCGCAGGGTCAGCCATTTATACGGCGCCCCTGGAGCAGCTGGGGTGAAGGGCCTTGCTCAGGGACCCAACGGAGTAGGATTCCTCTGCCGGCCGTGGGATTTGAACCGGCAACATTCCAGCCACAGGCGCAGATCCTTAGCCACAGAGCCACTATCGTTAGGAGATTGAGAATGACATCAGCCCCAAACAACAAAGTTATAGAATTATTTTCCCATCCCTCCGCTGGCCAGTGCCTGTCTCCTGTGGGGTATTAGAGAAGCTGGGGTGTTTTTAAGAACTGGTTGGGTGTTTTATGAGTGCCTTATTTTGCCCTCAAACGTTCTTAAAGCCCGTAAGCTGTAGGGCTGGACAAAAAAACCCAGTAGGTCAGAGAGCAGACTCCAGGCACGGATCCATTGATACCAATTCCATTACTCTCATGAAGAGGTCCCCCAAGGATCCTGTTTGCTATAGAAACTGTGCTTCCATGCACAACACAGGGCTGTAATCTGATGCCAGACTTCCTTTAAAGCCCAGAGTACATCTGTCCTACGCAAGTTACCCAGGAAGGCCTTTTGGCAGCTATACAGGAGAACTCCCTTTATTTTCTTCAGTTGCTTTTCTGTTGACGACATTACAAGGCTGGTCTAGAAAATGAGGTCTTAGCCACAGATTGCAAGTCCTTTGTGGTGGAAGAATTTGGATTTAAATAAAGTTTATATATAGAGAGAGAGTGCCTCCCCTCATTCTCAAGTCCAGCGTGCACGTGTCTCTCTCAATGTGCACGTACTGTACATGTTTGTACATGCTACCCTTCCCAGACAACGAGTGAAAACCTGTTTTTCCTCATTGAGGTAATAGACCTTGCATTAAAATTTTTTTTTCCAATATTTTGTGGTTATTGGTATCCTAGACTCATTTTTTTAAATAGTGTATGCATGTTGTGTTAATTGTCCACGTTTGCTGTCCCCCTCCTGTCTGTGGAAATACTCCTGAATGTGTGTTTTTCTTTTGGTGGGTTCACATGTTTATTTAAAGTTTCGGTGATTTCGGGGGGAAGCCATCGTCTTGCACTGGAGTGAGAACTCAGAGTTGGGAGCAGTGTGTTTGTTAAAAGAGCAGACCCTCGTGAAAGCTGAGGTTTTCTGTCTCCCTCCCCATTCCCACCCACCCACCGCCCAGTCAGACGTGGTGAAAACAGCACCGCAGTGGGACTCCCATTAAAGTCAGCTGCTGAGGGTGGGGTCAAGGGTCACTCCAGGGTGGGGCAGGGGTTCCTGGGATCGGAGTGCTAGCCTATAGCAGCTGCTGGATCCTGGATGTGGTGTGGAACGAGCGGAGCTGGCGGAGCTGGGAGGTGTCTGTTCCGATCCTCTCTCTCTCTCTCTCTCTCCCTCCCTCACTCTGTCTCATTCCGCTCCCTGTGTGTCCGCGCAGAGTCTGTGCTCCCGGCTGCTGCCGCCGCTGACTTCTCTGTTTATCCCGGTCTTTCCGTCTGGCTTCCACCCTGCCTGTGAGCGGCTGTGTTTGGGGTGGAGGGGGAACGTCGCTGCGCTGCTGGAGGATAGAACAGGAGACCCGGAGAGAGAGAGAGAGGGAGAAGAGGAAAAGAAAGCAGAGGAAGCAAAGAGGAGAAAAAAAGAGTCTGAGCGTTTTCTTTTCTTCGATTTGAAACCTGACCCTGTTTTTTGAAGTGGCACTTGTCCCCCGCTCTCCATCCCCTCTGCCTCTCTGCGGTAGCGCGCACACACGCTCACGCGCGCGCGCACACAGGTGTCAAGGAAACTGGGATTCTGCTTTTGCCCTCCCAGGCGCTTTCCCGATCTGCGCTCCGCTCTTCCTCTTCCACAACCGAGGCTGCGGACCGAGGCGATGCCCGCGAGCCGGCTGTGGTGGGCGAAGGGCAAGTGAGGAGGAGGGGGTGACTGAGAGAGGGGGCAACAGCAGCAGCAGCTAAGTGTCCCTCTGCCGGCAGGCTGGACTGGGCTGGACTGGGCTGGACTGGGGGAGCGTGTGCCAACGGGATGGGAGTTTTAGAGCAAGTTTCGGACAGACAAGTGTCGCCGAAACCCCAAAGCCGAGCCCTGGTGTGAGAACTACTGGCGGATCATGGAAAGAAGAAAAGGAAGACCCCAAAAAGATGTACCTGTTTCTGTCTGCGATTCCTTTCCTCGGTTGCTGTTAATCAGTGTTAGTATGGTTCCAGGGCATTTAGATGGTTCTCCAGTCACCCCGTGGGCAGCCAGCCTCACTGCCAGCGTGAGCGCTTCTGAATTTTAATTGCCTGTGACACAACAAACGGTGACAAGCCAAGGTCCTTGGCCTGCAGGCAAACCTCTGGATCTCCTGGAGCTGTGCGCGGAACTTTTGGGAATTATAGGAGACCGTTTTCTTCTCCGGGACGGTTCCCGCCAGAGGGGAGGCATCCCGGATTCTTATCGCGCTGCGCCGCTGATCGCAGGAACAGGAATCTGACTCGGTCCCGGCAGAGCAGCTCTGGGGAAAGGATGGTCCGGGGACCTCGGGCTTGTTCTCTGTGGTGACCGAGCTTTCTGGAGCCGTTCCTTTTCGGGGTTCCCCTTGCCTGTCTGGATCTCGGTGTCGGGGGGCGGGGCAGCATGTCGGCGGCAGGGCAGTCAGCGGTAGTGGGGGAACGGCCGCGCGTGGTCCCGGTGCCCCCCTCCCCGCCAGCAGGGGGCGCCCCTGTGTGGCGGTTCGAGAGCCCGGTGGGGGTGGACTGCAGTGCCCCCGAGCCGCGCTGCATCTGGCTGGCCGTGCTGCGCCGCGTGGCGGAGGCCGGACACGCCAAGCCCGCGCCGGGGCTGGTTCGCCGAACCGCGGTCAAGGGTCCGAGAGCCCCGAGGAAGGAGCAGCCCCAAAACATCAGGGTAAGGCTCTCCCCGGAACGGAGCTCAGGGTCACCCGAGTGTCTCAGGGGTTCTGTCTTGAGTGCAATTCGGTACCCTGCTTATGTTCTGGGATTTAATTAGCTTTATCAGTCGGCGGTAGTCAGGGAACGGTCGCGGGTGGCCTCGATGCCCACGTCCCTGCTAGCAGGGGGCACCACTGTGTGGCGGTTCGAGAGCCCGGTGGGGGTGGACTGGGTTTCTGAGAGAGGTGGCTACTACAAATGTCAAAAAAACTGTGAGCAAGAGAAAGAGTGCCGCACAGCGCTCTGAAGCCTGTTAGTACAGTGTTGTATGATCGCTCCTGCAAGATGATATCAGATCATAGTACTGTATGTATGTGATGAAAAGGAAAGTCGCATTTTGTCACTGCTGGCTTAATATGGGAAGAATGTGTCTTACAAGTGGGTTTTTTTGCAATGGTTTAAGGAAGTTGATTGTTTAGGTGAGTCATCTGAATGGTGCACAGAGTTATGCATGCAGCTGGGACTCTCCCTTTGTCTTTAGCCGGTTACAACACTGACGACAGGTGCACTTTGTCATGTAGCGCTAAACACTCAGCATCAAACTGAATATCCTGTCCGCCTCCTATTGATGTGTCCCGATGAAGGTGGTGGCACAGGAATAATTGTCTAATATGAAAAACAAAAGGAAACTTTGCTTATTTGAGTTCCTGGTCCAACCATTTGGGCTGTCATTTTGGACACTGTGTCCTGTGATTTCACTGCGATTTCTGAATTGAAGACAAAAGATAAATTTGCATGATTCATAAAGTAACGCTTGCAGCTTTTCCTGGACCCATACTGCTCTCGTGGCTGGATTTTCAGTGTGGGCATATTGCCCTGTGGGAGGGGTTAGTAGTGTGCCCATGGTTTGGCCATGGTGGAAGAATACAGGAGACTTCAGCTGAACGCTCCTTGCGGGAGAGAGACATGGGTCGGTGAAGAAGCCTGCGGCCGTGATGTACTTGCGAGTGGGAGAGGGGGTAGGTGTGTAGTATCTTGAGCATTTCTCACTTGGACTGTCACAGCTGGGTGCGTTTGCTCGCAGGGGCTGCTGAAATGCCTGAGTGGGGTATGGAGGGGGGATCCCTTGTTGTCGAGGTCCTGGTAGTGTCGCGTGGAGGGCAGCCTCGGGGTCAGACAGTTTCTGGCTGTGTAACAGGCCTCGCTACTCCTCCAGCAGGCCACGGTACCCCTCCAGTAGACTGAGGTACCCCTCCAGCAGGCCATGGAACCCCTCCAGTAAACTGAGGTACCCCTCAAGCAGGCCTTGGTACCCTGAGGTACCCCTCATGCAGGCCTTGGTACCCTGAGGTACCCCTCCAGCAGGCCACGGTACCCCTCCAGCAGGCCACCGGTACCCCTCCAGTAGACTGAGGTACCCCTCCAACAGACTGAGGTACCCCTCCAGCAGGCCACGGTACCCCTCCAACAGACTGAGGTACCCCTCCAGCAGGCCGCAGTACCTTGAGGTACCCCTCCAGCAGGCTGTAGTTTAATCACTGGGCGTTCCTGCTGGTATTGTTGTTTGGTTTCGAGCAAACCCGTACCATGCCAGTCATTTCACGCTCCCTTAGTGAACATTGTTCAACGGATTGAAAACCTCTCGTGTCGTTTGGAAGCCGCGAAGGGTGTAAAATGGTGTGACACCTGTTTTCACATTTCTGCTCTCGAACTAACGGTAGAAATTCCTCACATGCACATGACACATGCATGGGGTAATAGCCCTGTTTATGCTAATATTTTAACAGGATAACAAAAGACAGACAGGCAGATGCGTTGTGTTGCCAAAGGCGCAATGTCAGGGTTAGGAAAGCCCGGCGAGGTGCAGGAATTCCAGACATTGGTTGTTTTTCTTGCATGTGGGGCTGCTATAAAGCAGCCAGGGACTCGTTCCGGGTGTCAGACCCTGACCTTTCACAGGAAGATCTTTTAATTAAAGTGGGGCGAGAAGAATGTGAACAGTCAGCTGCCTGTCAGCTCCGAGCGGGCGGCCGGCTCGTGTCCCTGCAGAGCTGGGGAGAGCCTGCTAGCCGGCCTGTTGATTAGAGAATGATCACAAACGCACAGCAGCTCTGGTACCAGAGTACAGCAAACCCATGGACTTCAGTCTTGTTTTCCGACATTTATGCAGCAGTCAGCCTCGATTGTTTCATTTTGCCTTAATTCTTTCATTTTATCCAGGCTTATTACTCTCCTCCACTCACAACACATTTGTGTGAGACCATTCTGTAGTTTGGAACTGGTTCAGGCTCTGCATACCATTGCTAACTTTTGATGACTACTACAGGAAATCATGCGTGTACTGTACAGGTGCATAATAAGGAATAATAGTTCCTTTAAGTGCTTTTAACTCCAGCAATCCTGACATGATTCATTCACTGATGCCCATAAATATGTCGCCTGGGTGATGAAATACCTGAGCCTGTCGCTCTTCGCTCTGCGTGGCCGGTGGGTTTTGCTTTTATTTTTTGAGAAGATGCTTTGAATTTGAGCTCTTCTTTAAGGTCGTCTGCAGCGTAGCGCCACGGCGTGCACGCGTGGTCAGGGGCGTCAGACGAGCGGAGACGGCACAGCCGGCGCGCTCCCACGGTGGGGCTGAGCCCAGTTGCTTCATGCTGGATTAAGGGCACGGCTGCAGTCTGAGCAAGGAGTAATTGAAGGGCTCGCAGTGCCGGGAGGGGTTGTGGTTGAAACTGTCGTGTTGGAGCTTGTCTGAGAATTGGCCTCGCTGCTCCTGCTCCGACAGCATTGCATTCAGTTCACGTCTCCTCCCCCCCCCCCCTCCTCTGGCAACGCTTCATGTGTCTCAACCTGTCCAGGCTGAAGCCCGTCTCGGAGAAAAGCAGCGCTGTCTCTCCCTCTCTCTCCCTTCTGCGCCCTTTCGCAATCACACAGGCTCTCTTTTCCTCTTCTTTGGCTCTGGCTCTGCAAGCGCTGTTGGAGGTGAGAAACTCCAGGGGTGCCTTCTGCCTAGGAGCTGTGGGATTCTGGGAGGGGGCGCTCTGTGTTGTCGACAGGGCAGTGACGCCCAGTATGGAGTCAAGGGATTACGGCCCAGATAAGAAGGACAGAGGGGCTGGGAGAGGGAGCCTGTGCTGTCTAGCAGCGGGGAGCAGAGGCATGGGATGATGGGAATGTGGTAAATGTGGCTGCTTGCTGAGAGATGGAAAGGGAGGGGACATGGTTAGGGAATGTGTTTTTAGAAACTGGTGCTGACCAGGGACTTGGAGGGAGGCATGGTGCTCACAGTGTTCATAGCTCTGGGGCGGGAGAAATGTGGCCGCAGCAGTTCAGCCGAGGAAATAAGACTCCTGATGTGCAGCACAGCCTTTCCAGGTTTTCCTGTGTTGCAGGGTTTTGTATTTACGCCAATGACAGGTGCTGATTAATTTCATACTCCTTGCTTTATGTTGGCAACATTTGCATAAACATCCCACTAATCCAGTCCAGTATTGAAAGTGGAGCCGGAGCCTAATCCGGCATGCAACTGGCACAAGGCAGGATTATTGGCATAAGCAAGAATGCAAAAAATCTGAAACACACCTGTGTACGTATGTCTTATTCTGTTTCATCGGTACAGTTTTTACACGATGCTCTTCCCCTAAACCTGAAATGGATCCAGCTCCTGAGCGGCAGAACTTGTATTTGTATCCGTGGGCCTGGATGGAGAGGGGAGGAGAGTCTGGGACAGCGACACTGGGAGTGTGGAGTGAGCCGTCAGCCTTGTCCTGTGCTGAAGAGACCTCTCCCTCACTATTTTTAGAGGAACGGTATTCTCTGAATGGCTAGTGACCCCCCACCCTGCCCCCCTCCCGCTCCGCTCTTCCTGACTCAAGGCTGCCACTTCCTGTTGTTGCGCTGACGGGGCTGCGAGGTCAGCACAGTGCTCCGACGTGCCGGCAGGAAGTGAGGAGATGGCAGGATGGGGCTTCTTTTCAGCCATTGGCAGAGGCTGGCAGCTGCATGTCCCTGGTGAGACCTCCCCTAGCCGGAGCTGGGGTGCACTTGAAACCACCCCCCCCCGCCCCCCGCTGATGGGAATGAGGCGTACACCGGTTCCTGGCAGGTTGCAAACCCACTGCAAAAAAAAAAATCCCCCCCACACCCTCAGTGTTTTTCTAGGTGCTCAGTGGGCCCAGCGCCAGGATGAGTCCAGATCTGGCTATTCCAACCAGAGGAAAGGGTCAAGGTTTTTTCCATGCAGAGGATGTGTGCAAGAGATGGCCTTCGTCAGGGCTTTAAAGAAACGGCTGTGCCGACTCTGGGCGCTTCAGGCGTGTGGTTTGAGTTTCCCGCGTGTGCTGGGCGAGCTGGGGCTCAGGGGTGCCCGGGCTGTGGTGGGGCGAAGCAGATGTGCGATTGCTTGTGCGCTCGCACGTCTGCTTGTGTGCAGCTCCTGTTTGCTGTTCACGTCTGTGCTTCCGAGACTTCACGCGTGCAAGAAAGAAATCTTGGTAGGCGCTGCTGCTGTCTCGCCACCTGGTTTTCCCTTGCAGCTGTAATTGTACAGGCTGCAGAATCTGCAAGTCTCCGGTGTTAGCGGGGATATTATAACCCCACGCATTCCGTTTGCCCAGCCTCTAGAGCTCAGAAGACATTCTTATCATGAGTCTGAAGAAAGAGGACCAGAGAAATCAGTTTTTGGGGGCTGTATTTTAAAAAGCTTTTGAGTTTTGAGAGGGTTTTGAGCTCAAAGTCCAGTTAGACACAAGCTGCCAGGATCACATGAAAGTTTGCAGGGCATTCATTACTCTCTGGAACTGTTCCATTTCCAGATTCTAGCCTCCTCTGTGGCTGGGGTGCTGTCCACACTTCAGTTTAAAAGTCCAAAGTCAATGACATCACCCCCTCTGGGTTCTTACTTTGACTCCTACATCTTTTCATGACCTGCTGTTTTGTTCAAGCTATAAGAATTTCTCGTTTTACTTTCGTCTTCAGTTGTTTTTTTTTTGTCCCCTTCTGCCTTGAAAGATCCTCAGCCGAGATTCCTTACAAGTCAGGATGTGTGTCGGGACGTGACTAGGAGATGCGTGCCAGCGCTGACAAGCCAAACAGGCTGGTTCTGCTGGAATCTCTGAGCCAGTACCAGTCAGACCAGGATGTGTAAAAGAATGCACAAGTTTGCGCTGTACAAAATAGGCTCTTCTGTGAGCGGACAATGTAGGAGATGTATTAAGCATATTTGGCAATATGAACCTGACTTATTTCAGAATGCATCCTGTTATTCTCCAAAAATTCAAGGCGATATTCCAGCACGGCTCGAATGATACAAACTACTGTTTGCAAATTCTGAAACAAGTGCGGAAAATTCCCAAGGCCATCACACAGCAGCCTGCAACAGGTCTGCTTAGATGCCTCCTCATAAATCAAATCTGGCTTTTGAATTGGAAGAGGGAGAATCTACCTTCTGCCTTTTTTTGCTCAGAATTTTTTTTGTCCCATTTTATGAATGTTTGGTTATGTTAATCAGCACAGAAATACCATCCAGAGGGTACTAGAGGGAACAACGTTTAAGTGGATTTGGATTTCTTGTGCCCAGGGGTGTGTGGGAGGACAGAACAAGCTGCCCAGCCGTTTCGTTGAAACCTGTACTCTTTCTCCAAACTGCTGGACGTGCAACTAAACGAGCCAGATGGGTAGAATGGCCCCCTCTCATGTTTGACTGATCTTCTGCTCACACGGCGCTGTGGCCTTATACCACACGACTGGCATCTGTAGTGTGACGCAAGCATGTCTTCAGATTAGAGTATGCATGTTGTTTCCTCTGGAGAGCTACCCTCTGCTGTTCAGGTGTGCAGGTGTATGTGCACCTGGTGAAATCGTACCTGGGACCTGCAGGCCTCTTTCTAAAGTCTAATGGTGAAACTGCAGCAGTGCTGACCTGGTGCTCTCTCTCTCTCTTTGTGTTGCAGGCGAAGGGGCGGAGAGATGGGATTTCGTCGCCCAATGAGAACGCGCAGCCGAAGTCGGGGGAGGGGCCGGCGTGGCAGGGGCCGCGTACGGTGGTCCTGCACAAGAACTCCCAGGGGTTCGGGTTCACCCTGCGGCACTTCATCGTGTACCCCCCCGAGTCCGCTCTGCACACCAGCCTGAAGGTCAGTCCCCCCCTCACGCCGCACTGGATCTCCCCAAAAGCCTGGAATCGGAGAGGCAATCCTGCTGGGCTCCAGCCATGGTGCCTCTAGTGTGATCGGTTTCTCTTCAGGGCGATCAGACAGGCTCCCGATTTTCTGATGCTATGAATGCTAGGAGCTTTGGTCTGCCAGGTTTAGAAGTTGAAGTTAGGATAGAGATATTGCACACCAATGATAAACCTCCTGTTATCTCTCTACAAGCAAGGAGGCGCAGAACGTGAGCCCCTTGCACTGAGGTCTGGGGTGCTGTTCAGGTGCTGGAGGGCTGAGTGAGCTGAGCTTTTCAGACTGAGCTGAAGCCGCGGGATCCTCAAGCCCTGACTGGCCCGGCACATGTCGGCACGAGGCGGTTGCCATGCCGCCAGGCTCCCGCGCACGGCCGCCGGCGCTGTTCTATCCTGCTGCAGCGGCCAGGAGGCCCAGTACCGGCACTGCAGAGACTTCTGGGAAGGACGTCACAAGGTGGCGGATGGAGGTCATGTAGCGCTTGAGATGAGAGAGGGGCGCTTCGGCGTCACCTACCTGCTCTCGACAGCTGATTATCTTGGCGCAGGAGAAATGAGCATGTTTGGAAGCGTGTAAGTTAAGAGAATGAAGTATCTTGTGCTCAGGTGTCCTAGTATTTCTGCGAATGGGTCTGTCTCAGAGTAGGGCACGCTGGTGGAGCAACAGTTGGGGAGGCTTTGAGTCAGAGGGTCAAGCAGCAGACAGTGAGCACTCTGGAAGGGTGCAGCTGAACTTGTTTTGGCTTCATCCTATACTGGACACAGACAAGCTCTGCTTTTGCAGATTTTATATTTTAACAGTGAGTGCAGCCTGGCTGTTTCCCTAGGAGGAAAACAAAAAATCTTTCGCACAGAGGCCAGACCAAGAGTCCGAGAGTGGTGAGGCAGATTGTGCCGGGCCCTGAGCTCCCCTGTGCCACAGGAGTGCCGGAGCACCCTGCCAGCTCGCTTTCTCTTCCCCTAAACCCTGCTATTGTCTCCCCCTGCAAGGAATGAGCGCTGTCAGCTCAGCTAAAGCCCGAGCAGTTCCTCTCAAAGTGCTCACTCAGCTCTCCCTGTGTCCCCCCAGCTCAATGCCCAGGCACTGGGACAGTTCTCCTGCGGTCAGCTGTCCTGCGTGATCCAGGCCAGCTGCACAGCGCCTCCTGGTGGCCCAGCTGCTCAGGGTGCCCCCCACCCCCGGGTCACTTGGCTAAACTGCACTGTGCTCTTAAGTCAGTCACTGCCTTCCCATTAACTTACTGTCATTGAAGCCATGCACTTTGTTGCTGCAGAGCTTTTACTGGGGAATACAAAAGCGCCTCTCTTACAATTGGAGCATTAAAGTCACTTTTCAAACCGATTCCACTCAGGTCTGCTTCATCTTTGCACAGTATATTTATTTTTTTTGCTGGCGTTTGCGTGTGCAGTAAGTGGTGTTTTGGGAGGAAGAGGCTGTTCCCCAGAGATGTGCGTACCAGTGTGTGCTCTCTTGGCCCAGTGTTGATTGCTGACTGAAGCAGTAGTTCCCCAGATTTGGTCATCAGGGTGAAAACGGCACCTGACGCTGAGCTCATCGAGTCTGCCAGCGAGTCTGCTTAGCACTTGGGGCTGCCAGCCGATAGCATTTCAAAAGGTGCTCGTTAAAATGCCAGTGGCCAGACAATTAACAATTCTGGGATGTTTTTGTTTTTAAAGCACCTCTTCGCAGCCTGCTATTTCAGTCCTAAATCGCCTCTATTTTTAAATGCTGGTTTCCTCTGCTTGGATTTACTGCGCTTCTCTGCCTTGTGGCAGTAAACCCACGGTAAATTTGCAAGGCAGTTTTGCAGGCTTCCCATGATTCCACTGGGCCTACTCCTTATTGTTCCGCCTAGTTCTGCCACAGAAGGCCTGCGCTCAGCGGCACCCTCACCTGGCAGAGCTGAGTTATTGTGGCCGCTGCTGAGAGCTCTTCATCCCTCTCTCAGTGATGAGAAGCAAAACTCTGTCAGCATTTAAAGGGCAGACCAAGGCACATTTCTTGTCAGAATGCTTACAAAGTACAGAGGACCTAAAAGCCTGTGGAGACTCAGAGTAGCTGTTTTAATTAGTTGCACAGTATTGCTTCCGAAGCTGTGGATCTGGAGAGAGATCTGTCAGAGCTGACTAAGAGAGGATGGGTGTGGGGGGCAGTGCTTCTGTACGGACGTTGCGGAGAGACATCAGCTGCCGTTGCTGGCCTGTGTTTCCAGTTCGGTTCGCTGTAACTGCAGCGAGCTCGATACTGGTTTTGTCATGTTGGTCACCGTCATGCAATTGGTTACAGCAGTTAAAAGGCATTTAAAAATGGGAGTGGTCTGCACGATGTCTCCCATTGTAGTTCTGTCCTACAGTGTCTGTCCTCGGGGTTTGACTTGGTTAGTGTTTGCCGGGATGACAGTTCCAACTTGCAAGCCTTGGCCCTCGTAGGAAGCCTGCTCCATGGCCACAGTCCATTCTTTCTCATGTTCTGCTTGGAGGATCCGTGTCAGCTGGAGAAAGACACGCCTTTTTTCAGAATACTTGAACTTGAACTTTATTGCCATGTGTAACCGGTACTGGTACAATGGAATTCTTACTTACAGAAAGTCTCTCGATTGTAAAACGAGTGTAAAAAACAAGACAAAGTGCAAACAGTGCATCAAGACAATATACAAACAAACAGTAGACAATGTGCAAGTAAACGTGTAGACAGTTTGAATGTAAACAATACAGTCGCGTAAACAATGACTGGAGATGTGCAATAGATAAGAAATCATAAAGAGGTAGATGGTGATGGTGTAGGTGTGGTCCGAGGGGGATGGCTAAATGTGTTGCCAGTCTCACTGCTTGTGGATAGAAGCTATTGAAGAATCTAGTGGTAAGTGTCCGTATGCTCTTATATCTCTTGCCTGAGGGCAGTGGGGTGAAGAGCTCATGCCCGCTCTTAATGATCTAAAGAAGATGTAGCACCATGACTCTGAATAAGCAAATCTGCAGCTAGAAAACCAGAGAGACAGTATACTGTCCCCAGGCAGTGCAACTTCTGCATCATCACTAAACTCGAAGAAGCTGTAGAAGAACAGGCTGTAGTACTTCCTCACTCGGCCTTCTGCACTGTGGGCGCTTACATCTTTGTTTGTTTGTTTTTCTAGGATGAAGAGAATGGGAATGGGAAGGGTGAGTTTTTTTTATCTTCATCAGGATTAAAAAAAATGACGTCAGTGGTGTGTGTTGCGCTGTCCCTAATGCACCTGGACATCTGACCAACCTCACCCTTTCAGTGGACACCCACATCACAACAAAAGTTGGGAAACAGCTCCACCTAGTGGACTTGCAAGCAGAGATCAGAGAGGCAGTAAAACAGTGGAGTGCCTGGGGTCAGACAGTGAAAATTCAGTAGATTTACACATAAGATTAGAAGTGTATGCTCCTTTGATGTACAAGAATTAGCTCAGGATTCAGGAGCAGTGTTTGACATAGCTCCTAGAAAGCTCCTAGAAAGTGCTGTCTCACAGTTTAACACTGTGCAAATGTTTATATGTTTTCTGTGGTATGACAGATGAATATAAATATAGAATTTATATATATTTGCATTGGGGGTTATCTTTCTGCTTGTATGTGCAACCCTACATGTGGTCTTCACAGGATATCAGAGGAGCCGCCTGGAGCCGATGGACACCATCTTTGTGAAGAATGTGAGAGAGAAGGGTCCCGCGCAGCAGGCTGGCCTCTGCACAGGTAGGGGTCAGTGGGGGCCACACGGGGCTCAGATCAGGAGGCTGCTTGAGAAACCAGACTGGATTCAAAACTGAGTTTATGAAAGAAGGGGTTTGGGAGAGAGGACCAGTCCATGCCGCTGATATCCCTTTGTGCATACATATAGCTAATTAATTCTCCCTTCCCAGCACTCCCAGCATTCACTGCTTCGCATCCCTCGCTCTACCTGCACAGCTGCCCCAGGGCTGTTTCTGACTGCCTCATCCTCATGGCCTGGGTATTACCCTGCAGCCAGCTGGGCTCACACCAGAGAGTGCCGTCTCACACCCCGTATACCAGAGAGTGCCGTCTCACACCCCATACACCAGAGAGTGCCGTCTCACACCCGGTGCCCCAGAGCACACCTTGCCTGTCCTGCGCTCGGCAGGAGCGCTGTGTGTGCGCGGCGCGCAGCGGCTGCAGTGCGGGGTGTCTCGGCACGCCGGGGCCGGCGCTGCCCTCCCTCCCGCCCTGCCGGCGTGAGCCGCTTCCTGTTGTGACTCGCAGGGTGAACTCGGCTAACCTGGGCGAATTCCTCCCGCACCGCGGCCCCAGCCATCTCCACACAGGCACGAGGAAGTCCCACAGTGCGGTTTATTATTTCATAGATTTTTCCTGAAAATATTTGCTTACCAGGATATCCTACTTTGCTGGAATCTGTTTTTAATGAAGGGTCCCCCGAGGGCTGCGGACACACATGCGGCGATCTCGCAGACGCTGGGGGGTTTCCTTAAGCCTGACCCCAACACGCCCTCCTCCAGGATAAGGAAAACACTCTGGGCCTTAAAGCTACAGGCCAGGGCTCTCCTGGGCCCAGGCCAGCAGGGACTCTCTCTCGTTTAGGTCGTTAGGGTTAGGAGTTTTTTGGGGGTATGTAGATAGCACCCCAGGTCTGGAAATCAGGGTTCCAACGCTATGAGGCAGCAGTGCTAACAAATGCGCCATTGTGGCGCCCGGTCTCTAAACACAGCTGTGTCTATTCAGAACTGATCTTAAAAGATCTGATATGGCCAGCAGCCATATCATCCTGCAACTTACAGCTGGCAGCCCACTGAAGCTCAGCAGGTGTGAGCCTGGCCAGTACCTGGATGGGAGATTCCTGGGAAAAACTAAGGTTGCTGCTGGAAGAGGTGTTAGTGGGGCCAGCAGGGGGCGCTCACCCTGCAGTCTTTGTGGGTCCTAATGCCCCAGTATAATGAAGGGGACACTATACTCTAAAAAGGCGCCGTCCTTCACGATTGAGACGTAAATCCCAGGTCCTGACTCTCTG